TGGTTTTGAGCAGCTGCCTTGGTTCCTTGTTTTTGGTGCCCCACTAAGCTGAGCTGGGTGTCTGCATTATACTCCCTTTCCGAGTGTGTGGAGGGAAAAGTGCTTATCTCTGCCCAGCGCCCCAAAAGTATTAAACTGCATCTCTAGTCCCGGCTTGACATCAAGATGCTCACCTAGGTACTCAGCTCCCATTCTAAACTACTTCAAAGAAGAATTCTTCATAAAAACCTTCCTTTGAATTCATGTGGCATGTAAAAATTTCTTACCCGTTCTTGGGGAAAGAATGAATTTGTGTTTGAGATTCTTTTCCCCCTCCTTTTCCGTTTGCTAAAGCTAAAGTGATTGTTGTTTCAGCCGGGTTTCCGGGGGAAATGCTGGTGACTGCAGTCGATCTGCACTAGCGTGGTTTGTATCGTACTGCTGGATTGTCTGCTGCTGCTGCTACAGTGAGCTTGTGATAGCAGTGGCACGATATTTTTGGCAAATCAAAGCTTTTATTTTTGGTATTTAGTTTCTGCCTGATGAATTCTTTAGTACAGGAGAGGTTTGCTTCTGTCTGGACATCACAATGTTCAGACTAAGTTCATAAAAGGAGAAGGGATTTCTACTGCCCAACTGCGGAACCTAATCTACTTCTAACAAACTCTTGGGCTGTGATAAGTCAGTATTTTTAGGTAATCTTAATATAGCCCAGCAATTAGAAAGTCAGTATTAAAATATTTAAGGTAAAAAGTGTTATTTTCTAAGATGAGATGATGAATTGACAAGATGGGTATAACCTGTCTGCTGTGCCTCAATCTCCCTAGCATCCCGAGGCCTAAGAAGTGTCTGTATTAGGGAGAGTATTACCGAGCCAGCAAACCCAATAAATCTAGGCTGTCAGATAAGGAGAATGGGGCTGGAGTCTAGGTGACTCTTGGGTGAGTCTGGGGTGATAGCAGGTGTCTGTACCCATCAGGTAGCGCTGTCACAGGGTTGTGTGTCCTGAGCATGTCGTCTGGCTGCGGTTGCAGTACTCTCCCAGAAAGAGAAGTCTCTGCTACTGAGAAAATAACTGAGCACTTTACAAAACCAACCTTTTCATCTCCTCCTCCCCACAGAGCCCCGCAGGAGGTAGGGCAGACAGGGCTGTCGGTGTCAGGAGCACTCCTCAGCACCACGTTTATCTGACAAAAGACCTGCTAGCATAATTCCTTGTCGAAGTCCAATCTTACCACTGGTGAAAGTCAACCTAATGGTCAGTTTTCCAGCTCCTAAGCTTGCCAAAACTGGAGTAAGGAAGAGGAACTCATTTCTTACCAGCACGCAGGCATTTTCTCCTGCTCCCTTCACCCCCCAAAACATACACTCATTTTGGATTCATCACTATTACAGTCTTCCTGGCTCCATGTTCAGCCTAGCAACAAACGCAGCCAAACGGGTCAAAAGAGGGGCAAAAGCTCACTGCTGGCCTGGTGACCATTTTGAATGTGAGCTCCAGGGACTGTCAGTCTGGGTCCTGTCTGAGGATGCTTTCCCCTTTCTTCATGAAATCTGTGTGTTGTGCAGTGCCATGGCCAAGGAGCGT